TATACTGGCTCAACCTGCTTTTAAAACCGCAAAAATGAAGACAATCCTAAAGGTACCTAGACTTCAAAAGTGGAGTTTTGAAAAAGCATGAAACATATTTCATCAATAATTAACTAAAAAAATAAATACTCAAAATCTTAAATAAACCTAATATTCTTAAGTATAGGCAAAACTATCTCAACATCAGGGTTTGTCATAATGGCAGGATACGACCAAACTATTGAAATTTTTTCATGTCTGCGATTGATGAAACCTAACTTTGGTCGTTACCAATCATTTTTGGTGGTAGACACTAAGACGTGTTTGTCATATCAAAACAACGGCTGCTCACTCACCATCACCGAGTGGATTAGTAAGGAGTAAATCCTTCGCCCGCATATATCGGATGAAAGCAGAAAGCGTACAGCATGCAAGAATGCGAAAATCATGCCTACAGTCGATTAATGGTGTAATCGGCCGGGTATGAGGAACGGCGAAGTGACACGGACCACTTACATAACCTTTCTTATGAGGCCTCCTGAATTCCCGTGGCAGGAGGACGAACCTCCTGCTTTCGGAGGACGAAATAAAGAAGGCAATGCACCCGTTTATCCCATGAAGAGTAGCAAATACAGTCAGGAGCAGTTGATTGGGGAATGGGCACAACCCGAGGGTAAGACTATGAACCTTGGACCCATTCGTCTCTAAAAAATGGGGAAGCTAGATGTCATTCAGGGCCGATAGCCTCTTCCCTGAAAGTATAATTTTGACCATCACGACCGAAGGATAAACAGAAATAACCCGTGGAAGGGCGAAAACGTGAGCATCACATTCACGGTTAACTTCCTCGACTTGATGCCTTCCAGGAGGTGTTGCTAATCAGAAACCTTTACCGATCGGCTGGTCTGCCTTGGAAAAGTTAACCTTCCACTTAATACGAAAGCAGTGCCGGCCTGTTGTTCGAACGTTCTTAGCTGGAAAAGACTCTCCACTCAGGAGCAATGGAACGGACCAGTCTATTATCGGGATTACGACGGGAGTTTCGGACGGAAATTTCAGTCCTTTGAGATTCTCGCCGTGCGGCGCTTGTCAATTCGCCAGCCGGAAAGGGGAAGTGGGTAAGAAACTCGTCTTGATCCTTAGGGATTTGGACGATTTTCTACTTGTGAACTTACGAGAAAAGTAATACTCTCGCGTAAGCAGTATTGCGTTACTTCCACGTTGTAAACAAACGTTTGATAAGGCGGACGAAAAAGATCCTCGTCTTCTCTCAAACGATGCGACCCTACAAAGAACTTGCACTGAAATCACTAAAAAATAAAGACGAAATGAACGACCAAATTGCAAGTTTATCATCCAGCGGACTAAATAAAGAAACACGCATAAATAATATAATTATTCCAATTAATTATACTTTTTATCTAAGGTTTTTGGTTTAGATTAAAAAGTAGTGCCACGAGCGGGATTAAAACCCACGTTCTTCCTCAATACCCACGTCACGTTAGCTCAAGTGGTTAGAACAGCGGCGTATTAAGAAGAAGGTCGTGGGTTCGAATCTCGCTCGTGACACTAATTTTTCATCCCAGCCAAAAACTTTTGATGAAAATAATAATTAATGGATTAATTAATATGGTCAATTATGGTCACTAAACAAATATGGATTAATTTAATAATTTAAACTGCGCTAATCATAGTAATAATAATATGTTTATACTTTAATTAATTATACTTTTTATTTAAGGTTTTGGTTAAGATTAAAAATTAGTGCGACAAGCGGGATTAAAACCCACGTCCTTCCTCAATACGTCGCTACTACTACCTGAGCTATCGTGACTTTAAGCTCAAGTGGTTACAACAGCCGCGTATTGACCCGAAGGTCGTGGGTTCGAATCCCGCTTGTGGCACTAGTTTTTCATCTGAACCAAAAACCTGATAAGAAGAATAATTATTTGGAATAATTAAAATGGTCAATTATGAACAATAAGCAAATATGGATAAATATAATTATTATAAATAAACAAATTTTGTCATGTGCTTTTACACTTCCAATGCAATAACAAACTCCGTATTAACTATGGTCCGGTTCTCACCAATTTTGTACATATCCAACGTTTTATTAATTTATTTTTTATTTATTTATTTATTCTTTTTTTTGTGTGACGATTTTTGTCATAAATCTACTACTCGTAGTTCTTGAAGTATTCATTTTTGGAAAAATCCCCCCCTCCAAAAAAAAAATTGAAAAGAGCTTCCCATTTCCGTTTAGAAGGCACCCTTCCAGGACTTACAAATTAATTTTTGGTGAACAAACAAACATTAAATCTTTCAAAAACTACTAAATTTAAAATTTGTGAAGAAAACTAAATTTACAACCCCACTTGAAAAATTCACGAACCTGGCAAATCATAACAACTTCTTCCTTTAATAGGGTTTCTAGTAGTACACCATGTTCTTTAATTACACCGAACTAAAATCCGCAAATTTTATACTAAATGGGGAAAAAAGTGATGAGAGCGTGCAAAGGGTGGAATGGGGTTAAAATGTAATAATTCGACTTTTGTCCTGGGCAAAATTTATTTCCCAATTTTCACTTTAAAACAAGCACAGAAAAAAAGAGTCAATAAACATGTCGAACAACGAGCAGAACAACAAAGCAGAAAAATTGTTCAAAAAATCTATACTAAACCGAGAAAAGAATGAAAAAAAGAATAACAATACAGAAGTTGTAAAAACCTACGTTATCATAGTAAAAAAACTAGAAAAACTAACTAGAAAAAATAAAAATTCAGCGTACCAATAAATTTTTATAAAACATAAAAAAGAGACAATAAACATAGTGAACAACCATTTTTTTTTTTTTGCATTTGAGGTGTAGAAGCACGACGAAATGTAATGCAGGACTGTATGAGTAGCGAATCGCCATGCATATGCATTACAAATTATTTGCGAATCAATAATTTTTATGATCACAGCATAACAAAGTATAAGCGTAACTAAATTTAAACATTAATTTTCTTTAAATAATGTAAATGTGATCATTTTTCCACTAAGCCAGTTACAAATTGTTCTTGACGTTTCGAACCGGATTGAACTTTGTCATGCAGCGACAACTTGCGCAATGCCAGCTTGTTGACCCACATGTGTTTGTTAAGGAAACAGAATCCGTGCCTCTAATGCAAGTCAACAGTAATGTGAATTGTCCTCGAGGGAGCGGAATCCCTTTTCGGCCTAGCCGGCTTAATCGAGTTAAAATTTAAATCTAAACCTCTCAGGCCGAGATACCGCGGCCCTATCGTATTTTCCCTTTAAGGAATAACGTAGTGATAGTATTCTCAAAATAGCACCTGATAAAAAAATCCGATAAATATATGATACCCACATCAATTAGTACATAATAAAAAGTACAATTAACTCATTACTTTAATTGAGAAACCGAGGTTATTAACTCAAAAATCACTTTATATTCATAAACGGATACTTTATCTTCTTTATTTTATCGTAAAATTAAACAGAAGAAAATATCAAAAGAAATAAATCGACCCTAAAGATAGTGATTAGGACAGTTTAAACACGCTATCAACACAGATTTTCCGTTGTTTTATTGTCGTTGTCCAGTTAGTCCTTTTTTCGCCGTCCCCTTGGTCAACTTACTAACCGTTAAAGTTCAACATCCGTTATACCTAGGCAATCAAATACGTGATTTGCAAACGGAATCGTAAAACATAAAACACAGGTGTTCAACAATTCGATCCATAATCTAAATTTGGTCAAGAACAAAACGATCGGAATCATGAAAACTACAATTTCGAATTAACAATAACAAAAAATTAATCCATATTTGCTTAGTGGACATAATTGACCATATTAATTATTTTAATTAATTATTCTTTTTATGTAAAGTCTTGGTTGATATGAAAAAGTTACTGCCCCGCTCGTGACACTAACTTTTTCGTCTCAACCAAGACCTTACATAAAATTAAAATTAATTGAAATAATTAACAAAACATAGACGGGATGTTCAGGGAAAAGTTAGGAGTGTTTTTTCTTGTTGAATTCGAACGCGAGATAATCAATTAGGTTCTCAACATCCAAATTTTAATAACCCATTGTTAAAGCTGTCTCGATCTGTTACTGACGCTCCCCTTTTGTATAAAAACTAAGTCGATATCTTAAAATGCTTGCCTCTCATTTGTACCTCAGGTTGTCAACTACAGACACAAAATATATAATATAAATATATNTCTTCGCGGTAGGGTTGGGCTACATTCTCGCTGATAACTTATTTTTACACTCCACACACTCACCCCAGAGGACTCGATATTCCTCGTGGTAGGGGTGGGCTCCATTCTCACTAATAACTTACTTTTACTCTCCAGACGTCAAAACACACTCACCGCAGACAACTTGATATTTCTCGCGGTAGGGTTGAATTCCATTCTCGCTAATAACTCACTTTACTCTCCAGACGTCACAACACACTAGAATACTCGATATTCCGCGGGGCGGGGGTGAACAACCCCTTACTTTCACGCTAATAAATTATATTCATTCCAATAATTTAACAACCTAAACCCGATACAAACATGGAAGTCTGGTCACAATCACTCCCCCGAGGACTCGATGGTTCACGGGGCTGGGTTGAACCACTCCATTTCTTAATAGCTTATTTTTATTCTCCAGACGTCACAGCCTCACCCCAGGGCACTCAATGTTCCTCGGGCGGACAACCCTTTCCTTTCACGCTAATAAATTACGTTCATTCAAATAAATTCACAAAAACACAGCCCTCGATATAAACATAAAAGTGCGGTCACAATCACTCCGCGAGAGGACTCGATGTTTTGTATATTTGAAGATATTATTAGACTATGGTATTAGCTACACGTACTTCAAAGGCTGTGTACTTCGAAGGCACAAACTTTTGTCTTAACCGCATTAAAACTTTTAAATCAATCCAATTTCAGTTTTAACAAAGACAAACAAGAACGAAATAAAACATTTTAAGTCAATAAAAGCATTACCTGGTTTCATTTTGTTCCAGACTAGGACCTGATAGGACAAATCCTTGAAAGCAATGTTGACAGGAGGCCTCCGGGGGAAATGCTCCATATTAAAACCGTTTGACAATAAATCCCGTTTATCGTCCAACTCCCTCATTTTCACGTTGTAGAGAATTGTCACGAGCCAGTCACTGTCACGCTAATCGCATCACCTGTGAACAAAGAAACAAAAATTCATCACAATGAGAACAGAGGCGGAATTCCCTTCGGTTTAACCCTTTCAGGGGATCCCTTTTCTCTTGTTTGTTTTATCCTGAGAGGACTTTCGTGAAATCGGTTCGGAAACTGGAGACGCATTGTGACCGTGGTGGCAACACACTTGAAACAATGCTTCAAGCTTGAAAGGTCAGCAAAATTAACCGATTTCATCTCCAACGCAAAATGAATACATTAACTTCAACAAGCAAGAATGAACAAACAAAATTTGTGATAATAAAAAAACGTTCTATTTAATAATATTTAATGTTCTGTGTGATGTAATGTAATTAAAATTGAGAAAAAATATATTGTATAATTTGCCCGGCTGGGTTCAAATTTGAAATTTTACTTAAACAGAATATACAGTCACCTACATACATATTAAAATATTTACATATTAAATTTGAAAAAAAAATTGTTGTATATTTTTTCCGGTTTATTTTCTATTAAAGGATCTGCCCCTGGATTATGTATTAAAATTTAATAGCTTTCGTATATAATAAATTGTATTGGAAAGAAAGAACCTGGGTTCAAATTTGAAATTATACTTTATGTAAGGTATTGATTGAGATAAAAAAGTCAGTGTCACGAGCGGGATTCGATCCCACGATCTTCGGCTAAATACGCCACTGCTCCTTTTTCGCAGTTTTCAAATATCGTGTAATCTATTTGATTCTCGGCGACAAATGAAATGGCCACGGAGAGCTTTAGTGAAGATATTCTTCATTTTAACTTATTAAATTCATTAGTTTTCGTGGTATCGCTTGACCAATTAATATCTTTCGATTAATTAAGGTTTTTAGTTGAGAAGAAAAAGTCAGTGTCACGAGCGGGATTTGAACCCACGACCTTCGGCTAGATACGCCGCTGCTTCACCAGTTGAGCTATCGTGTCTTCGAATTTTTTGACTTTTCTTGAAAGTGTTGATTAACATTTTCGGGTGTTATTCTTGTCAATACATTTACATTTTGGTAGTTAAATGGGGTGAGCGGGATTGTAATTAAAAGGTCAAATTTGAAGAAAACTTTTGCATTTGCCGGGTCTATGGACATATGAGTTTTTCCTAAAAAGTCTAGCCTTAGGATAATTTGTGAGTAAATTAGGTACAATTAAGAATTCATGTTTCCAAGTAAATGCGCCTACTCTTATGTGCGCGTTTACTTTATGGTCAATTCTAATTGTTTCGGAATTTCCTACAACTATTGACATTGCGCAGGGTGATTTTTTAATAAATTGTATTTGACTTAAAATGAACTTTTTCCGTTAATGTGCCTCCGCCCCACTCGACCACTAAGATCTCTCTCCTGTCACTTAACGATGTGCTCCTTTAAAGGTAATCATAAATACAGAAACATTTTAATTTAGGTAAATTGAGTAATGATAATTAAGAGTATAAATTGGTAATAACGGAAATGACATTTGAGGCCCTGGGGTCCAAAATTCAATTATTTCACTAACTTTGTCTTCGAAAATAACCAGATTTCTTGCCGTACATGACTGCCGCCACATGAAATACCATAGATAGGAGTCCAATAAACTTCGGCGGGTATCTCCGTCACCGAGGGCTGTCGAGTAGGGCGGAGGCACATTATCGGAAAAGGTCCCTTAAAATTTTTAAAAATTGTGGTTGAATGCAAGATAACCCGCTCCTGTATCTAAGAGAGCATTAACGCCATAATTGTTAACTTTGACAAAAATATGATTGTAATATACGCTTTTTTTACTTGTGTTCAGAAGTGATTAATTTAATGTAGCATAGACCCAGTTTTCTAGTTTTTTTGGTTCCTGTAAAGAGTGATTTTCTTCTTCAGTGCGCGGATTATATTTAATTTTAGATCTGGGTTCAGTTTTGGGTTGGAAATATGACTGATGAGGTCGTGTCCGAGTAAATTGTTTATCAGGCGGTTTATTTACGTAGTTCGGCTTAGGAACGTTATCACTTAAAATGCCTATTTCTTCCATCTATTTGTGAACCGTCCTTCCTTTCATGCATTGAAAACTGTATGCTCTCTCTTTTATTTCCATTTTTTCTATAAATTTGTTATTCCACTGAGGAATGAATTTTTCTATGAATTTGTTATTCCATTTTTTTATTTTTTTATTTTATTTTTTTTTTTTTAAACAATTGAGCTTTGAAATTAGTTTGGGCAGCTGGGAAGTGTTCCTTGTTTTGACGAGATTCATTCTTATTAAATTGAAATTTTGTAAGGAAATTGTTTCCCCGGCTCCCCGAACAAGGGGTTGTGTTTTTATTATATAAATCTGCTCTAAAATTTCTATAGCGGAAGTTACTGTAATTTGAACTTTGCCAGTCCGTCTTCACTGCTACTTCGAGCCGTTCTACTTGTAAAATTAAATTCTCTAATTGCTGCAAATTGTTTGGCCTTTCCATAAATTGAAAACGCGTCGTGTGTTAAGGTTTACTCCCGATATACTAACATCCAAAATTTCGGCCTCTGAGTAATTTCCTAGTATACTTTCAGATTTTTTATGTCATAAACATAGTCCCTAAAAGATTATTCTTTTGTGGTCTCAAAACCTTACGGGATATTAGAAAGGTACGAGTCCGGACATTAATTAATTGGGTAATTGCATAATTTGAAATATATGAACATTTTATTTTATTGTCGCCCGCACAACTTAAAATTTGCGTAAGAATTGAATTCGATTGGATTACACCAATTCGCCGAAAGATTTCGTCGAACCATTGCGCGTTATTGATATTTAAATCGTACATTTTTTCGATGAACGATATGATTGATCACGGATCGTTGATTTTAAACTGTGGAACATCATTTATCAGACTCTCCAGACTTCTAGGGAACTTATGGTTGGAAACTGCTGAAGGCATGTGATCGCTACGGAATTATCTAAAATTACGTTCTGATCTGGGGTAGTTTCAAATTTGGGATTTGTGTTTTTTGGTCCGACTCCCTGTGTTACTGTGGAAATTGTAAGTTCTTGACTGTTGATGGATTTGATTTTTTGTGTTTTATCATTTAACTGTTGTGTCAATACCTGGTTTTGTTCTTGGAACGATTTTATTAATTCCAACGCCTGGTTTAATTGTCTAGTCTAGCTATTTGTTTCTGGGATGGGTTAGTTTTGCTATTATTACATTTCCAAGAATCGCGCCTGGTCATCGTCACTTTTATCCATGCTCCCAATGTTATCGCATGCAAAATGGAAAATAGATGAATCATCCGCAATGGCTGGTACTGCACAAACTTTACACAAATCAGCATCTACATCATGGGTTTGGGGGACTGTATCTTGAGCTTGTATATATGAAGTCATTTTGAAAACTATTTTAATTTTGAAATAAGTGTAAAAAAGGGTACATATTTTTTTTAAATAAAATTTTAAAGTCGGGTTCTTTTGTTTATTTTAAAGAGGATTAACTGAAAGTCGTTCAACAGGCGCCAATCCGGATAATTCCTTCTTAAACGTTTCAATTTCTATATTGCGGACATAATTATGACACATCTATTAAATAAGAAAGTAAAGCAACATATCTATGATTGCAAAAAACTCAAGCAAAATCCTACTATACTCGCTACCCACCATGTTGAACACAAACACGATTTTGACTTCAACAATCCAAAAATATTACACACAGAACAAAACAAACATAAACGTAACTTTTTAGAAATGGCATACATCAACAAAGATAAACACAGCATCAATTACAGAACAGACACAGGTGAACTCAGTTGCAGCTACGCCAATATCATTAATCAAATTCAATATCGATAACATACATATATCACCATATCACATAAAACACATATTATAACCTATAAAACATTCATCACATTCCACACATCAAACATTTTTACATAGTCTAATTTTTACCAATTTAGCTTTCCTTTTACTATTTATCCCCGTCTATATAATCCTGAAAGTATAATCTGGCCGAATCATTACCAACGTTTTTCCCATCGTCGGCTCTTTTCACCTCAAAAAAGCCGACTCCTTACACAAAAATTTCTAGACCGACTTCCTTCCCCACCCCTTCAAAATCCAACGTATATAAACATAAAACAGCAATACCTCACTGGCACTCTCAACATGACACGCAAGAATGGTACAATTACGCAGAAAAGAAACACTTTGAGTGATTAGAAATACTTTGATTGAATATAAAAAAATATTTTTTTGCACTGCATAAAATTTAAACAATATTTGTAAATTCCTGGCCCTGAAGATGATCTCAATAAAGATCGAAACGTTGGCACGACAAAGAAAATGTTTTTCTGAAACCTACCTCACACCAGACAGCATCTCACGATTTCTAAATAATCATCGACTAACGGTCACTAATCACCACACAGATAGGAATAATAAACTAACGAAATTAAAAGTTATTAAAGTTGGCGCAAGCATTAGGCAAAATATTAAACAAAATAACAATAACAATATTACTTAGGAAAATACAGATTTTTTAAATTTATTTTTAAACGAGAGTTCGCAGATCGCAACTAGTAATAGGATGTATTACTGAAAATTATATCTCTGCTACCATCTGTGATGATCGTTTGTTCGACCGCCTTACTACAAGGCGAGATTCTGACTTGAATATCTGCCGTAACTGTTAATCCTGCCACTGTTGTAGTACAAAAGGTATAACGAAAAGAAGAGTAGTATAACACAAAATTTAAATAATATTTAACAAACCGTTTATTTAGAAAAGCAAAATAAAGTAAAATTGGTTTCTTCCCGATAACACAAAATCCAATAAACGTAAAACAAAACGAATACAGAATTAACTTAGAAACACCCCGTCACCAAGTGGCCTCAACTCAAACTTGAGTCTTAATAAATTTAATGATTTCTATTGATTTTTCTCTATTCTTTCTGTATACTTCTACAGAAGTACACTTGAGCCATACCTCCCACGATCGGGGTGGTACGTCTCCTTTTGGTGGGAGGAGGCAATTGTCCATGTGTGAGT